CGGACCCTGGATTGTTTCATCGCTTTCGCATTCTGTCTGCCCCTTGGTCGTGGTCTCGCTTTCTCGGACCCCGTTTCGTTTTCTCGTTCTCTTGTTTTCTCGGCTCCTGGGTCGTGGTCTTTTGTTTGACCCTGGTTGGTTTTCTCGCTTTCTCGGCCCCTGGGTCGTGGTTTGGTTTTCTCGCGCCATGGTTCGTTTTCTTGTTTTCTCGTTTTCTCTGCCCCTGGGTCGTGGTCTCGTTTTTTCTGACCCTGGTTCGTTTTCTCGTTTTCTCTGCCCCTGGGTCGTGGTCTTGTTATCTGTGGCCCTGGTTCGTTTTCTCGTTGTCTCGTTTTCTCGGCCCCTGGGTCGCGGACGCTGGTTTGTTTTCTCGTTGCATCGTTTTCTCGGCCCTTGGTTCGTAGTCTCGTTTTGTCGGGCCCTGATTCCTTTTTTTGTTTTCTCGTTCTCTCGGCCCCTGGGTCGCGGTTTCGTTTTCTCGGCCCTTGGTTCGTAGTCTCGTTTTCTCGGGCCCTGATTCCTTTTTTCGTTTTCTCGTTTTCTCGGCCCCTGGGTCGCGGTTTCGTTTTCTCGGCCCTTGGTTCGTAGTCTCGTTTTCTCGGGCCTTGATTCCTTTTTTCGTTTTCTCCTTTTCTCGGCCCCTGGGTCATGGTTTCGTTTTCTAGGACCGATATTCGCGTTTTCTCGGCCTGGGTCGTGGTCTCGTTTGCTCGGAACTTGGTTTGTTCTATTGTTTTCTCATGTTCTCGGCCACTGGGTCGTTATCGTGTTTTCTCCGGCCCTGGTTCATTGTCTCGTTTTTTTGTTTTCTTGGCTTCTGGCTTGTTGTGTTTGTTTTCTCGGGCCCTGGTTCGTTTTCTCGTTTTCTCGGCCCTTGGGTTGTGATCTCGCTTTCTCGGGCCCTGGTTCGTTTTCTCGTTGTCTCGTTTTCTCTGCCCCTGTGTCGTGGTTTCGTTTTCTCGGGCACTGGTTTGTTTTCTGTTTTCTCGTTTTGTCGGCCCCTGGGTCGTGGTCTCGATTTATCGGACCCTGGTTCGTTGTTTTGTTTTCTCGGCCCTTGGGTCGTGGTCGCGTGTTCTCGGACCCTGGTTAGTTTTTTTGGTCCTGTTTCGTTTTCTCGTTTTCTCGGCCCCTGGGCCGTGGTCTCGTTTTCTCGGACCCTGCTTCGTTTCCTCTTTTTCTCAGCCCCTGGGTCGTGGTCTCGTTTTCTCTGACCCTGGGTCGTCGTCGTCGTCGGTCGCGCGTCGTCCGTCGTCCGTCGTCCGTCACTGTCTTCGTATGACCTCGTCCTCGTCGTGACGACCACGACGAGGTCATGCGAAGACGGCGACAATGACGGCGACGGCGGCGACAACGACGACGAGGACGACGACGGCGTCGTACAAAGACGTCGAGCGACGGCGACGGCAACGACGACGGCGACGGGGGAGGATCGTCCGGCAGGGGGAGTTCAAGGGAGGGGGTGGTAGCTTCCAGCAGGGGGTGTTTAGAGGGGGAGGGTAGCTAAGCTCTCCTCCCTTTGGTAAGTGGGAGAGGGGGAGGGGAGCTGCCGAAGCGGCACCTGGGGGGAAGGAGGGGGGGAGCTTCCGGGGGGGGGGGGGGCAAAAAAGGGTGTGAGGGGGAGGGGCTCCCGGCAGAGGGGTGCCAAGGGGGGGGGGTAGCTAGCCCCCCCCCTTTGGAAAGGGGGGGAAGGGGGGTAGCTTCCAACCGCCGAAAGGGTGGGAGGGGGGGGGGTAGCTTCCAGGAGCGGGCGAAACAGGGAGGGGGGGGGGGTAGCTTCCAGCAGGGGGGGTTCAAGGGAGGGGGGGGGTAGCTAAGGGGGGACCCCCCCCCCTTTGCTCCGTTACCGTGGGCGCGCTCTCTCGCCGATAATAAAACCGTCTTCCATCGGTTGCGCCATAGGTTGCGCCCTCGGCGGCCGAGAGTAAAACCGTCTTCTATCGTTTGCGCCATAGGTTGCGCCCGCGGCGGCCGAGAATCAAACCGTCTCCGATCGGTTGCGCCATAGGTTGCGCCCTCGGCGGCCGATAATAATACCGTTTCCGATCGGTTGCGCCATAGGTTGCGCCCGCGGCGGCCGAGAATCAAACCGTCTCCTATCGGTTGCGCCATAGGTTGCGCCCTCGGCGGCCGAGAATCAACCGTCTCCGATCGGTTGCGCCATAGGTTGCGCCCTCGGCGGCCGATAATAACACCGTCTCCGATCGGTTGCGCCATAGGTTGCGCCCTTGGCAGCTGAGAATAACACCGTCTCCTATCGGTTGCGCCACAGGTTGCGCCCTCGGCGGCCGAGAGTAAAACCGTCTCCAATCATTTGCGCCATAGGTTGCGCCCTCGGCGGCCGAGAACAATTGCGCCATAGGTTGCGCCCTTGGCGTCCGAGGATAAAACCGTCGCGTAACGGGTGCGACCAGTCGGTTCAGTTCAGTCAGTATACCTCGCGAGAAGCAAATTCGGGCTACGCCGAAAACAAGCGAGTGTGCAGCATGTTCTTGTCCTCGACCGTGGGTTGCCTAACAACTGCGAGCTGAAGCGCTGCGGGTAAGGCCCGCAAGACTCCAAGCGCGAGCTGGTCTGCGACAATGGGGAATTCAATCATACCGAGTTCAACTGAAACCATCCCTCGCAACTCACCCTTTCTCCCTCCGCCCTCCTTTATGCACCTCCAGTGTATCTTCACCCACGGGGCGCGGTACAAGCAACACTGGGTGCAGCGAGTGCACGACTGTTCGAGGTGGAGTGTTGCACGCCCGCTTGTCGAGGTATGTGCACTTCCCTCTACCCGGCATGTATAAATCCACGCCCCTTCCGATCCGGCTATCTTCACATTCTGACCCACGACAATTCCAACACGACCTGGCCCGCAACCACCTGGGAGTTCGATCACCATGTTTTCCACAACGGTGGCCCATCCACGACCACTCAGATCTTGAACACTTCGAGATCAACTACTGCACACGAGCGCTTTCTGCCGCTGCTGGTGGGGAGGGCTCAACCCCACCCCCAAAAAATCAGCGGGGGAGGGGGTGTTCTGGACCCCCCTCCCTCCCCCGCCATCCCCGGTGAACTCCCCGGTGAACGGACCCCGCCCCCCTCCCCCTCCCTCCCATCCCCGCAACGACGACGACGTCGACGTCGTCGCCGCCGCCGGCAAACGACTCGGAAGACGACGACGACGACGACAACGGCAACGACCGACGACGACGACGGTGAAAAACAACCACGACGAAGACGACGAAAACGACGAAGACGACGACGAGGACGCCTACGACGATACCGAGGACGACGACGATCGAGCCCGAGTGGGATGCGATTACAGCTGGAGCTGGATCGCGCCCCAGTAGAATTGCATTAAAGCTGGATCCAGCCTCAGTAGAACTCCTTAGTAGAGCAGGATACAAACTTGGTCGGTCGGATCCTACTCAAGGTGGACCGAGCATTTCCAGAATTCAAAGAGAGCTGGATCCAACTCTATCAAGATCTAACCTTAATTTCTCGATCGAACATTTCTAGAATTCCATCACAGCTGGATCCAGCCCTGATATGATTTTGCTGGAGCTGGGCCCAGCCATACTTCGCCGCATCAAAAGATCGACCAACATGCAGCGCTTCCCGTTGGGCGACGGGGCCCAGGTACAACGTTGTCAGTGGCGCTGCGCCCGCAATAAGGGAGGAGAAGTCAAAGGGGCCTGTTAGGCCGTGGGGTCCCAGTGCAATGTTCTGTTCAGGCATTGGTTTGTTCAAGTTTCGGGCGGAACCGCCCTTTCGAATTGGATCCAGATGGTTGCGAAATCCACTCGAGACCGCTCTTTTGTGGGATTTCTCTAGCGAAAATCACACTTTGGAAATCTCGGGTCCGAAATTTAGGATTTTGAAGTACCAGACGGTGTGGACATTTCGAAACGACTGATTCGCTTGAGATTTCTTCCGCAAACAATTTCGAAAGATTTCGAAATTCTCGGGCTCGATTGCGAAATGGCGCTACCGCCCAAGACTTCCTCCGAACTAGATATCGATATTTTCCCGGGTCGATTTCGACATGGAGTTCTCGTCCACGACTTCCTCCGAAGCAGAATTCGCAGTATTCGGGGTTCGGTTTCGAGATGGCGCTCCCGCCCAGGATTTCCTGAAAACAGCAATTCGACACCCTTCTGGCTCGAGTTTGAGTTGGCGCTCCCGCCCAGGACGTCCTCGAAAATAGAAGTCGGCTCTTCGTCAGCTCGAATTCGCAGCGGCGCTCCCGCCTCAGACTTGTCTTCGTGTAAGCACGAAGCGGGTCAACGCTTTCGTAGCGTTGATGCATTTGCATTCAAGTAGAGCTGGATCGAGCCCTAGCAGGATCTTATAAGAGCTGGATCCAACCATCGTAGGATTCTTTGAGAGCTGCACCGAACCCTAATATGATGTTTCACAGTAAGGCCGATCCCGAGTCGCATTCTGAGAGAAATTGATCGACCCCTACAAGGGTGCTATCAGATTGGAGCGGAACCCTAGCAGGATTCTGGTAGAGCTGGGCCGAGCCCCAGTAGGATTCGATGCGAGCTGGATCCAACCCGGGTGAGATTCTAGTACATCCAGATTCAACCTCAATGGGATTCCAATGGAGCTGAATCAAGTCCGGTGAAGTCCTATCAGAGCTGGATCCGAGCATAGTAGAATTCTAGTAGGGCTGGGTCGAACCCGAGTGAAATTCAATCAGAGCTGTACCCAATCCGAATCGGATTGTATTTGAACGTGGTCGACCCTAGAGTAGGATCCCATCTGATCTGGCTACGACGACGACGACGACGACTACCACTACGACGACGACGACCGCGACGACGACTACGAACGACGACGACGACGACAACGACGATACCACGTTTCATAGCCGAAGGGTCGGCGGATTAGAGCTGGAGAGGCTTAGTCGGATTCTATCAGAGCTGGGTGGAACCCTAATTGGATTCGATTAGATCTGGATCCAGCCGTGGATTCTACGGCTGGATTGGGTCGAGGCCCAGGACGATTCTAGTATAGGTGGAACGAAGTCTACTGTTAGAGCTGCAGTGAGCTCTGGCAGCATTTTATCAGCGCCGGCGGCTGGCGCGGGCGCCGACGACAGATGCGCCGCCGGCGCCGCCGCTGACGTTGTCGCCGTCGTCGGCGTCGTCGTACAAGGGCGACAAGGATGCGGAGGAGGATGAGAACCAGGATGAGGATGAGGACGAGGAGAATGAGGGGGAGCAGGAAAGTTCGGGTGAGACGGGGCGGATGGGTGTGCAGCGGAGGCATGATGAGGAGGAGGGAGATGGCGGAGGAAACAGAGGAGAAGACGAGATGGGGAATGGGGGATGGACGCTCATCTGGAAAGAGGGGACGGGCTGGGGTCAGGATGCGCATCGCTCACAGCAGCTGGCGCAGAATTCGAAGTCGGATCTTGCATGTCCGGGTGCCAGAATTTACGGCTTCGTTCAAAAGAGTCGCGTAGAGGGTTGCACGAGGCAGGCAAATAGTTGAGTGATTTCCGCCGCCTGAATGTTCGGCTCGACGCCTGCAGCACTCACATGGCGATACCACTTCGGTCGCTCGTGCACTGGAACTGGTGTCTTCTTGATGGACATTGCACTCCAGGGCCTGCTGGGATTTGCTGGAGTCGGGGATTGCGGCGGTCTTGCGGTCGTCGTCGCGTGCCTATTTCCCTGCATCCCTTCCACCACCGCATCTCATCCTCGCCTTCCTCCGCAACCCTAGGGGTTTGGCAGCGTGCTTGCTCTTCCCAGGGTCCAGGCACTACGATAGTACATTGGACAGGGGCCAATTAGAGAAGTTGCTCAGGGCTAGGTGACGGATTGGAGGTGAGGGGGGCAAGAGGACGGAGAGGATATGAGATCGGAGAAAGTAGGTTCCCAGACACAGGGGATACGGAAATGGAGGGACCGGGGCGGCATGTCCGCAGAGCAGTTTCTGTATACTTCCAAATAGAGCGCATGTCCCCGCCACTCTTTTGATTTGGCAAGACGATGGCTGCGACTGATTTAGCGACTCCACTTGCCCCCTTCCGCGGAAGACGATTTATGGCCACCGCCCCCGCGCGCGAACCTTGTGCCGGCTTGCCACGCAGCGCCGCTCAGCCAACCTCGATGGTGCTTCTCGGTATCGGAGGTCGAGCAGTTCCTGGCCGCCCCCAAGGTCCTCGCCTTCCCGACGGCGGAGCGATACGGCATCGCTGGGAAGGCCTTCCATGACAGCGCGCGTGCGCGCAGGCGCGCGGCATTCGTCAGAGGCGGAACAGTTACCGACGCAGCTACCCTTCCCTCGTCTCGGGCGGGTGGTAATGGGGGGGTGACCTACGTTGGGGGTTGAAGAACAGAGCCCTAAAGGGGCACTTTAGGGCCCTCTTTTGGCCCCTGCTGTCTCGAAAAGGGCCCTGAGAGTCCTTTTAGGGCGGTTTTTCCACCCCCCATTTAGGCCACCCCCCATTACCACCCGCCCGATCGTCGCCACGGTGGGTTCGTCTCGAAGTCCTGGTCAGAACGCGCCCCAGGGGAGGTCAGGGGCGTCGCGGTATTGGTGTCGTGTTATTCTTCCGGGTCGCGCGAAGGCGGGTTGCGGCGCGCACGCGGACTCCTCTGAGCTCTGAGGACGCGTCCCTGGACGAGCGCGCGCGTGCGAGCAGTTCAGCTGGTGGGAGAGGGGCAACGATCAAGTGAGCGGAGCGGCGGAGAGGAGTCGTGCCACCCATTCGTGCGAGACGTTGCTGTTTCTTTGCGATGACATGGTGGTGGAATCAGGGGGGGAGGAATCAGGGACATGCGCTTGGCGGAGAGCGCGAACCCCATGCCTCTGCAATTCTGTGTTTCATGCGCACGACGCGCGCCACCCCCCTGGAGCCTTCGACCCAATCCTGGCGCCATCGTTGACGGCCCTGGATCCCCCAAACGGCCACTGGACGCCAAAGCGGTGTGCGCCCGTCGTGGTCGGTTCGTGACGCCTGGAGGTCTCGGGGAAGAGAGTGTGAGGGGCCGCTGGTGTTCAATCCGATCCCCCCACCGTCCTGGCAAGATTGCGGCGGCGCCCGGCGAGCACAAGCGGATCGTGGACGGTCGCGGCGTTGCGACGCCCGCAGCTTCTTTGCGCACGTCGTTGGAGAGATGAGGCCAGAGCAGCAGCAGAAGCAAAAGAGGTAAATTGGAGAGGTAGGAGATGAATGCGGATGCCCAGATGCGGTTGGAGAAGTGGGGGAGGAGGAGGAAGAGGAGGCAAAATAATGACACGAAGAGAAAGTTCATACGAAGAAAGAGAATACGATCAATAATTTTAAAAATAGTAATAAAACGCAGCAGCATGACTAATAATGCTAATAATACAAATGCGAGGATGAGTAGGACGACGCTGTGACAACGACTAGGACTCTGAGGAGAAGGATTACAATGGCGGGATGAGAATGGGAGAGGAGGGGGAGCAATGAGGACGCGGAGGCATATGAGGAGGCGGCAGACGACGAGGAGGAGGACGACGACGACGACCGACGACGAGACGGGCGACCTTTATCTCCTCATATTTTGCTGGGCTTCCAACGCGCTGCGCTGAGAAGGAGGGAAAGGAGGGACAGAAGGAGGAGGAGGAGGAGGAGGAGGAGGAGGAGAAGGAGGAGCCGCGAAGGAGGAGCCGAGAGAAAGGACGAGGAGATGGGAAGGAGCGGGAGCAGCATGATGAGGAGGACAGCGGGAGTGCGGCTGTCAGAAGAATCCCGCGGCATTGCCAGACCTGGCCAGGTCCATCCTAGGCCCGAACCGGGGTGCACATAGGCCGTCTTGGCCCATGCCAGGAGGGCGAGGGTCGCATATGCACTTGTGACGGCGCGCGCTGCCAGTTTGCGGGCCGAGGCTGCATTCTTCCCCAGGCCTCGGTATCCTTCCCTGTCCAGGGTGTTAGCGCCGAGGTCCGCCGGACTCGGTGCCCGGCAGGCCACCTGCATCCTGGGCTCGAGGTTGCAGCTTGTCGCGCATTGAGTTTCCCCCTCGTCTCCCCCTTCCTCGCCCTCGTCCATCTCCTCCTCGTCCATCTCCTCCTCCTCCTCCTCCTCCTTCTCCCTGCTCCACCCGCCCCTCTCCCCCCTCCTCCCATCTCCTCCCTCTTCCCATGTCATTATCTTCCTCTCCTCCTCCTCCTCGTCTTTCTCCTCCTCCTCCTCCTTTTCTCCCCCTTCCTCCCCATTTCCCGTTGTCAGGGTAGTCGCGAGCGGTGTCCCGAGTCATCGGCATCATGGCCTAGCCCGAGCTGCTGTCATAGCTCACAGTGTGGTCAAGGACGCAGTCGAGAAAGGTATCAGACCGACTCCACAGCGCTTATCCACACGCTCTCTGTAGGCGCACATGGTGAAGGACAGCCAGGACAGCTTGGGGAGGGTGCACCACATGAGTTCAAGCGAACGTGGACTGAGCTAAAGAAGGCTATGGCGGGTTTCCCGCCCTGCTGGATACGGGCGTTCCTACATTGGCTGGTGGATGGCACACGAGCTCGCGGACGCACGCAACCCCTAAGGTCGGCAAGTGCAAGTGCGGTTGCGAAGGCGAGCCCGACGCCATCGTTCACGACCTCAAGAGCAACAGGCTCATCCACCTCTCATGTATCCCGCGCGCCCACGCCCAGCATATTTCGTTGGTTCGCCAAGGACTTGGTGACCACTACGACGAGGATGGGGAACTCTCGCTGTCGACGACCGTCCAGCGCCGCATCCTTTGCTATTTCATCCGCTTCGAGGTGCGGAACTTCAGGAGCGACTACAGGTCGTACGACATGCACCTGATTGCCAGCGTCGCTATTGTCAATCGGATGGCTGTGCGGTGCGGTGCGGAGAAGACCAGCGCCCCAGGTCGTACCCATGCTCCTCCTCCACCTTCCCCTCTTCCTCCTCCTCATCCTCCTTCTTTTTCCGCAACCATGTTGGCTCAAGGTTTTGAAGTTCGCGCTGATCCAATCGGATACCGCTAGTTCACGGCAGTGCCAGGGCCTTGGGCCCGACCCAGCAGTCTTTTCTCGCACCTTTGTGTCAGCCTGCCCTGGCGTCACGGGCTCCATCGTTACCACGGGGCACCTACGCTTGCTCGCGTGGGTCGCTCTCTTGCGGCTGCCATGGGGCCCAGACAGTGCCGCGCAGCCCAAGCAGAGGCCTGGTTCTGCAACTGTCGAACACGTTCTGGATCAATCGCCCAGCCAAGAAGTTTTGTGCAATGTGCAACCTGCCCAAAGGCTCTGCGTTCAAGGGCACGTCTCACCCCAAGGTTCCCGTTCGTCGTGCTGCCTCATTGGCTACCGCTAAAAAGAAGGTGTTGACCCACCAGTTGGCTCAAGAAGGAGATTGCCGCCATACGTCTCGCTTCCACTGCAGGCACTGGTACTGCCGAGTTTCCTTGGACCAAGCCTGGGGTCAGTGACAAGCGCAATCGTCTCAAGTCTGCCGGAAGTATGTTGCAAGTGTTTGGGCCTGCTGACCAGGCCGACGCAGCTAAGTAAGGCACGTGCAACATCGGTACGGAAAGACCGGGTTACGATGCCCAACAGCGGTTCTTGATCATTTTGAACAGGACTCGTTGTCCACGCCGCCGCGGCCTGTATACATTTGAGACAGGAGGCCGCCTGCCCAACAGCGGCCGCTGTTTGTTTTGGACAACATTTGTTGTTAGGCATTGTGCCAATTGTTCCATGCCCATTCCGGGCGTCCAAATAAGTGGACGGCTGCGCGGGACCGTCTGCGTGCCGAGTTCCAAGTTTAGAAACCAATCGAGCAGAGCGAGGGTTCCCTCAATGGCCTGCTCAAGAGCGCCAAAGCCAATAAGCCTGTCGCCGCTCAGCGGGCGTATTGGACAAGTGTTTGAACGGAGGCACGCCCTTGAGATGGGTCTTCAGGTGGCCCTTCGTGGCGTCGTACATGGGCTGCCAGATGCCAGTATTCATCGTCTGAACTTTTTTCCCAGGGGTCAGACACCAGGGCCAACGCTACAGTCGCAATTCTGGACGTCTTCTCGCAAGGGTTGCGGCAGCCCAGGGACTGCAGGAAGTGGCACAACAACACCAGGATGTCTTCGCCCCCATCGCACAGCTTCTTCCATTGAGAGGCCGTAAGAAAGTTAACGAAAGTCTGGAAATCTTGCTGGGACGAGCCATTCTCACCGCCAAGATCTGTCGAGGAACCCGCCGACATCATGCCGCTCACTGCGTCCACCAGGGCGTCGTGGTCGGCCTCAGCCCACTTACCTAGGGCTAGCTTTTGCATGATCGCAGGCACGGCGCTGGTCACGGAAGTCGGGTTCTGCCTGAAGAGTGCCAGCAAACGGTTTTTCTGTGCGCTCGAGTGCTTCATGGGGTTGCTGTTCACCACAGCGACTGAAGCCTCAATCTGGGCCTGCAAATCGCCCTGCATCGCGGCAGCGGGCCCCGAACAGCTGACAACTACAGCTTCAGCTCCAAATGGCGCTCGCGGGCGCGATGCCAATGGGGAGACAGGAGAGGAGAAGCGGTTGGGGGACCGCTGGTGTACTTCAGCTCGCAAGCGTTTGGGGGACCAACATGGCCTCCCAGACGAAAAGCGGTTGGAAGACCGCTGGAAAGCGGTTGGAAGACCGCTGGGGCGAAACGCGGGCTGCCAAATTTATCGGATTTACGCGGCTTGCCCACCGCTTAGGGGAAACGCCAGCTGTGGACTTACTATCGAGCTATAAGTCTTATAACTTCCACTATAACATACATAATATATCTCATGTTATCTTATATTAAGATGCCCCTAACAGCCCTATAACACTTAACAGGCGCGAGAAATCTCTAAGGACCCCCAGGGCCCGCCCCGCGCGCGCGAACTAGAAATATTGTTGAGCAGTTACCGGAGATCTTAGCACGCCTCTGGCCCGTTGGGCCGGCGAATTGCGGCGGTCCGTACATCTCGAAGGTGGCGGGTCCGATTACCCTCTTGCAAGATCACGGAGCTTTCGTCGATGCCCATGGTCCTTCGCGGGGACGACTTCCAACCCAACCAGATTTCAGCAGACACGTGCGACATGATTGTGCAGGACATCGATTTCGAGGTCGAGCTATCTTTGTTCGAACGGCGGACTGGCTACGGCCGGTTTCCTTCGGCGACCAGCTCTCTCACAGCTAGAAAATGATCATCCAGTGCCCAGTGGTGATGCTGCTGGCGGGCCTATTCAGGCCCATCTGGATTACGATGCTGGTGCAGGCAAACTTGTTGGTAGTGCTGGTCGGGGTCCAACTTCTGCAGTGGTCGCGTCTTGGCCCACCGCTGCCCGCATTGGCGTTGATAGTATGTTCGACGAAGCAGGTGGGCTAACACCTGATGCTCAAACTCTTGTCGGTCTGCCTGGGGGAGTTCAGACCGACTCGATCTGGTGCACGCGGTGCCTCTGCTGGAACTTGCCCTCGCGTTCAAGCTCACGATGGTGCTCCGCTCTGTGGTGCCCAACCTGCTCTCAAAACTTCGTGTGGGGCCCATAGCAGTGTTAGGGCGGATGTGCACGGTGCTCGTGCGGACCCACTTGGGCGTGATGATGTTCCCCCAGTGCTTGTCGGGTTCGTGTAGTCCACTCTGTGCATGCGCAGCGGAAATAGACGACTCCGAGGCCCACCCGATCAATGGCATGTCGGTGGGGCAACACAAGATGAGGGCGACCGTGTCGGCCCCAGTGGTTGCCCCCTCGTCGTTCGGGCGCTTCGCTTGGCATCCAAGAGTTCAGTCCTCCCGTCTGTGTACGAGTTCCGCGAGCGCCTTGGCTCGGTCTTGGTCATTGGTCCCCCTCGTTCGCGACTCGTGAAAAGAGGCGGTCGACCTCTACGCATGGTGTTCACCCGCTTGCGCGACCCGGCGCTCGTCCCGCAGCTGATCTGAATTTACATCTTGGTGAATTATAGCAAGGTGCAGGCCTACCTGATGGTCTTTTTCCTCGTGCAGGTGAGTTTGGTGAGCTACACATTGATGCTGGGCAGCACTATGGGCTGCATGATTTTCAGCATCATGGCCCACAGGTGACTGAAGCACGGACTGCCGAAGGTGAAGAACAGAGTGGATTGAGCTTCTGGGTGATCACGTTCTATTTGGTTCGGTGGAAGGACACCAGGGTGATACACGACACGGCGCAGTACAATATTCCGTTCAACCTGACACGGTCCAGCGCGCTCTACCGCATGCGCGCTTGCATGTGCCACTGCACGATGATCCGTTCCCTGCCGGAATGCAAAAGGGTGCAGCTGCCGGTGGGTTTGCGGGGGTCGGCCTGGACTTCAGGGCGGGGATCTACAGTTTGATGCAACATAGATTGCCGAAGGTGAAGGAAAGAGCGCTGTACAGCATGGTGGGCCACTGTATGATCTGGTTCAGCCTGGTTCGGTGGAAGGGCCTGATGTCCGGTCCGACACGGCGCAGTACCCAATGTGGTAACACATGATGCAACACACCGCGCTCTAATCGCATGACCCCTCTTTTGTGCCACTACACGATGGTCTACCTTATCATGAGATGTAGAGAGGTACAGCTGGTGATGGGCTCGCGGGTGAAGCTCGTCCTTGGCGCCGTGGCATACACCGCAAACGACCTGTTCAAGAGCCACCCTCTGGAGTCTTCCCTGGTGTGTAGCAGGAGACGGCCCTGGCATTGCGACGTGCCGAACGGCGTCTCCAGACAATTGGTCGCGACGCTGTTGCTTCGTCTGTCTCGCAACTGTTTCATACAAGTCCCACGCACCGCTGGTCTACAACGTTGGAGGCTACAGGCGAATTAGTCGACTGCTTCCCGAGCACAACCAGGCCCATCATCAATGCAAGGCTGGCCGCTGAATACTGCTGCTCAACATCCTGTGACGAAGTGTGCCCTGGCACGAAAGCGATCCTTAAGCAGGCTGTTCTTCTCCAGCATAACTGTTGTTTGGTCGCGGACTTCTTGGAGGTCTCGTTTCATCAGTCCTTCACTGGCTTCGTCACGGAGCCGCTCGCGAGCTCTGCGCGCCCGCCAACTCTGACAGCCTGGCGTTCTTCGACACTGTTTCCATGGGCGTCGGCTTTAGTGACGTTCTTGACGACAGCAGGTAGCAGGTCGCGCCTCTCGACGTGCCCCTGAGATGCCTCGCCAACCGCGGGGTCTAGAGCGATCGAGGACCGGGGATCCCTCTTGAGGTGCGGGCTCCGCCTCTTCCTCTTCTGCATCCCGCGCTCCCCGAGCCCCCCACTCTGTTCTGCGCTTGTCTCCTTCTCCGCCCACTCATCCTCCCCTTCCACTCCTGCCTCCTCCTTCGTCCTCTCATCCGCTCTCGCACCTCCCCTCGCCGCCCCTTTCCTCTCCCCGCACACGCGGTGTTTCGATTTCTTCGAGACACGAGCCCGCAACCTCTCGACCATTTCCACAGGGCCCTTTTTTCATGCCGAGCACTTTTCTGACGGCCCCGAGGTTCGGCACGGGACCGATACCCAGGAAGCAGACATCAAAATGCCGTTTCGATTTTTTCTTGACGCCGGATGTCAGGCTCTCCCTTTCCCTCGCCCCCCCGCCTCCTGACTTTACCTGTCCTGGCCAGGCCAGTGGCCGCCCGCTGGCCCCCAGGCTGGGCGCGTGGGGGCGCCTGCCGGCACGCGCCCCCCGCGCGGCCAGGAGCGGCTCCTGGCCGGCATCTCTTCCAGCCCGGCAGAGGCCTGTTGGAGGGGGTGGAGGGGAAGGAGCTGGTGGTGCAGAATCGAAGGGCGAGGGCGAGGAGCCTGAGGGGGGAAGGGGGGGGATGAGAGGGAGGAGAAGGAGGAGGAGGAGGAGGAGGAGGAGACCAGACTCTTTCGAGTCAAAGCAACTCGCGAAGGATGGTGTTTCTATTCCCAGCGCTTGTGGCCCTTACTGGGCTTCGGGATCGTAATTCAGGATGTGACGCCGGTCCTGAGGAACGGGTCGAGACTTTTCGGGGCCGACGTTATGACAAAATCATGCAAACTCATGACGTTGGGGGTCTTGGAAGGGAGAAGCCCACGGGGGTAGGGGGAGGAGGAAGAGGAGGAGGAGGAGGAGGAGGAGGAGGAGGAGGAGGAGGAAGAGGTAACGGGCAAGGTGAAAGGTCGGCGAGGCGAGCGCTGGGACGTAGCGCAGGCGCTCGCCGAACGCTCGGCTGCGCGCTGGGCCGCTGAGATGGCCGATCGGCGCGAGGCCGAGTGTCGCGCAGCAGCAGCGGGCGCCCTGCAACGCTGCGCGCGCGGCCGGCTGGGCCGGCGCGAGGCCGCGGCAGTGCGGTCGGCCCGCGATGCGGCGGATGCTGGACGCGCTGGGACGAATGAGGGGCACCTGCTGGCCGCGGAGGCCTTGCCTGTAAAAACGGGGAAGAGTTGCAAGGATCAGGTGAGGGAGGAGGACACGACGGCAGTCGACGCCCTGCTTGACGACGCGATGCGCCTGGCCGCGCGCGAGGCCGACGAGCTGGCACGTGCGCGGCGGACACCCTCGTGGGAGAGGTGTGCGTTGCGGTCGTCCCGTTCGTCGCTGCTGGCACGGCGGAGTTCGGCACGGAGGATGCTTTGAAGTCTGCGCTTTGCAGGCTCGAGGCGGCGGCCCACGTGGCGATGGGCGGTCTGGACAGCCCCATGAAGGTTGCCTCGGCCTGTGTGGGCGATTGGGTGGTGCGGTTCCTGACGGGCGATTGGGTGACGGTCGCCTGGCGGGTCGAGGACAGGCTCGGCGGCAAGGACGCCGGCTGAGCGTGGGAGGGGCGAAGAGGGGGGAACGGTAGGGGTCTCACCGCTTTGCGAGCAGGGCCGCCGTCCCCCCCCTCTCCCGCGCTCCATGCTCTTCGGCTTCGTTGTCGACGCCGGTGGCATCGGCGGTGGCGGGTGTCGGCTGGCGGCGGCGTGTCGCGGGAGGCATGTCGGAGGGCGGCGGCATCGCGGTGGCGGATGTCGGCGATCGGCGGGGCACACAGAGGTGTGCGTCGTCGTCCTGGTGGCGGCGGAAGTGGCCCCCGACCAAAGGGGAGAGCGCCACCCATCCAGGACGACCGAAGGTGGCGCTCAGACGAGTGCCCCCTTACGCATCGGGAAGAGGAGGAGAAGGAGGGGAGGTCGGCAGCCCCCACTGTGGCCCTCGTCCATGGAGAGGACATGGCCGCAGGCGGAAACCAGTACGAACCGCAGGCGGTCTTCAGATCCCGCGCCCGCGTAGCCCAGGGGGGGGGTGTGTTGGGCGTCGCGGCGAAAGATGCCGTGACTGTTTCAAGCGCGCAAAGCAAAGCAAAGGGAGTCCCGAGGAAGGCGCACACCTCCGCCGCCGGTGGCCCGGAATCGGCCGATACAGAACGACCCTGCGCGGTCGGAAAGCCGCGACCGTTCAAGGTCGAACGATACAGCGCGGTGTCACAGACCAACGCTGACGTCGTCACGACACGAACCTGCCTTTGGGGCTAGTTCCGGATCGCCACACCCGCTTCCTACTCGCGCGCGATACTCGTCAGAAACTTTGTGGACGACCGCCTCCTCCTTGAAGGGCTCCTCCACGGACCAAAGCTCGGCATCGCTCGGACCATCGAGAACCGTCCTGGATCATCTCGCGAATGTGTTTCTCGTCGCAGCGCGGCAGATGCAGTCCGCACGCGCGTGCGAGCGAAACGGGGCGCGGAGTCGCGAGTTAGCCCGCATGCAAGAGGGCGGGAAGGAGGAGAGGAGGCGGCCGCAAGGGGGGGAAGGGCGAGGGGGCGCACTCACGCAGCGAGGCCGCGGGTGTGTGTGTGTGGGTGCGGCATAGCTGATGGGGGCTAACCTGACAGCAGCTGCGGGTCGGCGTCGCAGTGCACCCAGGGAGGGGGGCCAACTGCCACAATTCGGCCGAGGCCCAGCAAGTCGGAGAGTGGGAACGGCTGGCGACTGGAAGACCAGGTTGCCTGCGGGGGGTAGAGGCAGCGGCGCGGGGACGGCAGCGGCAGGAGGTGCGCCAGCACTGCAGCGACTACGGGGGGGCCCAAGGCGGTGGGCGGGGCGGCGGCCCCGAGGCAGGGGCGGGCCGGCAGGGCACCCGTCTCAGGGACGAAAACGAAAACGAGAAATAATCACGAAACCGAAATGTGCACGGGGAGTGGACGTTTGATTGATGGCGAGATTGAAGCTTCGAGGCCTGATGCACCGCGTCGTCATGGCCACCTCAGGATCCGGCTCGGCCAGGGGAAGCTGCTTCTCCCGCGCCTCCAGGGCCCTGCGGCATTGACAGCAAGAGGCAGTGACCTCCTCTAGGACCTTGTCGGCCGCGCAGGCCGAGGATGCTGAACCACCAGCGGTCAACCGTATTTAGTCTGGGAATCGCTCGGAGTGTGCGTTGTTTCTATGCAAGGACCATCGCGGAGCATCTTGGCTCATACTGCAGAAAAAAACACGCACGAAACCAGCACACATGCACGGGGAATGGACGTCCGAACGATGGCAGTAGTCAGAATGAGGGGTCCGAAGGGTCTTACACTCTCCCTGAGTGCGTGCTTAGAGTGGGTTTCCGCGGTGAGGATTCGTGTTGTTGGTTGTTTGCTGGTTGTTGCTGCTTGTTGCTGCTTGTTGCTGTTTGTTGTTGATCGTTGTTGTTGTCGTTGTTCTCGCCCGCGACCCGCCCGTGACACACAGCTCTTTGACTAAATTCCTGCGCCTGAGGCGATCTCTTTGTGTAGTGTGTGCAACATCGGCGGCGCTTACGGAGCCTCGCAGACTGCCGACGACCCCGCCGCGCCCTCGCTCTTATCCACAAACTCGTGGGCTATGGTATCACGTACTCATTTCTAGTCTTTCCCATCCCGCGGGAAGGGACCCGCGAGGCCTGCGTGGTTGAGGCGGCAACGCTCGAACTTGCCGTTGATGGCCTTGAAGACATATTCCAAGGCCGAGCCGTCGTCAGCGAGCTCACTTACCTCGGTATGGCGACGCCATGCCCTGACCTTCCAGGAGCACTCCTTGTACCAAGCTGCCCGCGCCTTGCCCTCCTCCGCCGTGGGTTTCTTCATCTTCATCTTGGCCTTGCGCTGGGGCCACCAGTCGAGTAGGAAATCGAGTACATGACTTGTGTATCCCAACTTTTTCCGTCGAGTCATGCGTAGAGTCTTCGTAGATCTACGAATTCTATAAGTCTGTTTGCAGATTCGACGACAAAGTCAATGTGGGAATACATCAACTCTGTAGTCGATCTCCTACTCGTGCAAGGCATCCTCCGAGCTGGCCTTCGACATCGATCACTGCCCGACCTCGATTTTGTGCTCCCCCCCTTTCCGCTCGGCCCCGCGCATCCTCCGCTGGACCTGGTTTAGACGGAGTTGTGCCTCTTCACACCCGTCGCCCTGGATGAGCCGGTCGATATGCCCCTCCCCTCCACCTTCGCAGCTTCCATCATAGGGGCCGCGGGGGCAGATCCCCACGAACCTGGCACCGTACGTGCAATGCCAGGGATGGCGGCCCGTCTTCCCATCCCACATCAAAGTCGGGATGCGAAGCCCCTGAAGACGGGACGGGGTAGGCACGAGTGGGCATCATATCCGGCTCAAAACCAACAGGGGCATCATAGCCTCATCATGGACCGTCCTCATTGGCAACTCCTTTCGTGCGTAGCAGCATGCTCTCCCCTCGAGTCACGAACAAATCACGACGAATGTTGTTTCGCTATTTTCTGACTCTGGGGGCTCCTACCAGGCCTCGGGACCGTCAACAATACGACTCAGGACGAACAACTGGTCCAGGGGAATAGGTCGAAGCCTCTGGGGGTCGACGTCATGAATACATCATGACGGCGATGGTCTGGGATCAGAGCAACGGCGTCTCTCGTGCTTTGGCCCCTGGTCCGTGTGAACGTTGTTCCCCTGCGGCCCCCTCCTGCGGATGAGCATCGTCTGACCGATCCCTATCCCCATCCCCATCCCGATCCCCAACATCCCACCATCCCACTTGGGGATAGACCCCTCGAAAGTCGAAGGGAACAGCCTATACCCCCATCTAGGAGGATAAATCGGCCAGTGGAGCCCAGACCACACCCGTGGGAATAAGGGATCGGTCAAACGATGCGCAGTGGAAACCTTTCCCCCCCTGCTCAGGGACTCCCACGGAGACGCGGGCGGGGGGGGGGGCTCGCACAGCCCGCCGCTGCCAGCGGCGTCCTCGGGGGCATCGGTTGGGTAGCCAGCGCGGCTGCCTCGTGCCACACCCAGGTGGGCGGCTCCTCCTGCCGCCGCCTTCTCTCTAGGGGGGCCCGGGATGGCACACACACACACACACACACACGCACACACACATACACACGTTTGGCCCTCCTTCCGAATAGCTCGGCCAGCGTTTCTTGACGAACTTGCCAGAAAGCTGGCCCAGTTTCTTGAGTACTTTCTTTACCTCCTCCAGCGTCAACAAACGAAATTGGCCCAGGTGTGTTTCAAAAAGGCCTGCGGTAAGCTGACCCAGATTTAAACCATAGTTTTCTTGATCATGTTTTCGGTTGTACACTGTTCTTTGAGCGCCGCCTGAGCCCCCATGGCGGTGCCTCTGGCGCCGCCCCAAAGCGGCTTCAAGAAATTAGCGCGGACCTCCAAACGCCTATGCTTATGCCGTGTGTTCTGCCCCCCCCCCCCCCCCCCAGATATGGGAGCCTGTTGTCAGCTTGCTTCTGGTACTTGGTGGCTGTGTGCTTGAGGTGGGCTTCCGCGGTCAGGATCTTTGATGTTCGTTGTTTGCTGTTTGTTGCTGTTGTTTTGATTGTCGCTGTCGTCGTCCTCGCCCGCGACCCGCCCGCGACCCACCCGCGAACACCTCGCGACCCACAGTGCTTTGACGACATTGCTGCGCCTGCGGCCATGTCGCTGTTTAATGTGTAAAAAAGCTGGCCCCGATCTCTTAAAGTATGCTTGTCTTGACCCTATTTTCGGTTGTAGTTTTATGTGTTTTTGTTCGTTGCCCGACTCCTGAGGGGGTCCTGCTCGTGCTCCGCCGTCTCCTGCCTCGCGGTCGACCCGCCGGAGCTGCTGCGCTCGACGGCGCCGGCTCGTCTCTGCCGGCCCGGCCGGGCCCGCCCTCGGAGCTTTGCGGCGGCGTAGCGGTGGTCAGTAGAACCGAACATAGGGTCAAGAAAGTTATCCTTCAAGAAATCTGGGCCAGCTTCCCGCATGCTTTTGGAAACAAGCCTGAGCCAATTTTGATTGCTGACGCTGGAGGGGGCGATCGTGCTCAAGAGAGTGGACTAGCTTTCTGGCAAGTTGGTCAGGAAACGCGGGCCGCTATTCGGACGGAGGTTTCTTAATCAGATGCTCGATTGTAGCCACTGGGCCTGCAGACGGGAAACAATCAATAACATAAGCATAAACTTTTGGAGGCCCACCCGGGTTTCTCAGGTCGGCGCTGGTCCACGCGCCAGGGAGGGGGTTCCAGCGCCGATCCAGGAAATCCGCGCGGACTTCCAGAAGTTTAACTCCGTGCGGGCGATAATAAAGCCTACCCCCCCTTAAACACCCCCCTCCATTTTTAATCCCGTTTCAATAGGATTTAATTGTGGAGAGGGGCACGGAAGCCGAACTTGATAATCCACGGGGGAAGTTGCGAATCGAAGTTGCTATCATCTCATGTTGACTCAGCATCACAAACGCTGAGCATGGCCATGGTGATCTCACCATGTCAGCTTCCGCAATCACGAGCGTGTGGCAGGGCTGTGGGATCACCATCGTCGTCATCATCATCATCATCATCATCATCATCATGAC